CTGTCGCTACAAGCATGCTTAGTGTGAGGGATTGATGAAGAGTCAATGTGTTATAAAGTAATGTACTATATTGAGAAGTATTATTCAAAGAGAGGTTAAAAGCATTGCCTCTGGCCAAGAACTGGGAATTAATTTGCCAGAGGACCTCTGTAATGATTTCTGCTGTAGAAGCTGCGGTATACAGTCCCATGACATCACTTCCTGTTTCATTGGGCATGGATTAGACCTATGGCAGGCCCTACTACTGGGAGTTGCTGCACCTGACATATTCCTGGCTCTCCCAGTGGGTAACTGCCAGATCCTCGAAAGCTGTTTGCATACATACACTTTTAATGTGTCCGATAATGACTTTTTCTACAGGGCAAAGCCTTGGCTGCTTGAGAAGGGGTCACCTGCAGCACTTGCTGTTCACTGAGAAAACTAGACCAAGGTATAGCTAATATAATTTTCTAATATAAAATTGCTAAACCAACTTAAATTTGAGAAGAAATACCATGGTGTTTCAAAGTCATGACATTTTGTTATGCCAATAATTATCACTGATCAATATTTTAATTTCCTATTCCTGTTTAATCGCATTATTCATTCTACATGCAGCCAAAGTGGCAAAGACAGATATCTCTTTTTATATATACAGATCATTCTATCAAACATAAAGTTATATAAAGAGGGACAGTATCATAAGAAAGTGTTCAACACACAGCAGCGAAGGGTAGTGTGGTAAAGTGTAGCCTTGCCGTTTCCTGCAGAGGATGATGGCCAAGAAAGTGACAAGGCCAAACACCAGGGCCATTGAGATCCCAATGATGGTCATTGTGTTGTAATGCAAAGGAGCTGTGGAAACACATACAAGGTAAAATTAGTGGAGGAAAGGCTTCAACACTACAGTTTTTACTCTGACCTTGACATAAAGGTACCTAATGCTTAGGAAAGGTGGGGTGGGCATGTATTTTGAATTTCTTGGAATATAAGTATAATTTACTACTTACTGTATATTTACTTTGATTATTTTTTCAGCAGCTCCTTTTTTCTAGGACAGGTGCTTTCTATGGTAAATATCATTCATTGTCATTCATTTTCTAATAATTGTCAGATTCTTGGTTTGTTAGTTCCTGTTTTTCTTGGTTTTCCATTTGTTGTCCTCTGCTGCCCTCTTGTGTCCTCTTTCCCTTGCTCTGTTTTCTGTTCTGCCCTCACCTGTTTTCAATCCCCTCGTTAGCCCTCTCTTTTTCTCTGTCCCCTTTAAAAGCCTCCCTCTTCAGTTCCTGTTTGCTGGATCCTCGTCTAACGTCTGTCTGCTTACCTCGTCTCTCCCTGGCTCCTAGAGTTTGGTTTACCCCTGATGTCTCCTTGGTTCTGGTGCGTTTGTTATTTTCTGTTGGATTTTGATTCCTTTTTTTTATATATCACTTTTTTGGCTTGCTGTGCAGTAGTTTCAAAATCCATGAAATGTGGTTAAAGACCTACCAATTCTTTGCATTATCTTGAATTTATCTTTTGTTTTGCAGTCAATGACAATTATTAATGCTGTAATAATTCAATAGAAAAGGTTTTAAAAAGGTTGTCTGGAAAGATAATGTGATGATTAATTGTGAAAAAGGCTTTTTTTTCAATGAAGATAATAACCTGGACATAAACTTCTCATTATTCGTTGACTGAAACAGTAGCAAGATTCTAGATTCAAGAACCTTTTTTTTTTTACTATATGGGCCTCCAAATACTAAGAATATAGAATTTATACGTCATGGTCTTGGCATTTATGGCTCATTTTGGCTCCTTTCTCTTATTAGCTTTGCTCCGCCCCGCACTCATTGTCTCTAATCAGATCCACCTGTTCTGCTTCTATTTAAGCCGCCTGTTCCACGTCATTGGTGTCAGATAGTTAGAGCTGGTTGTGAGAGTAAGAAAATAAAAATAAAAAAGCTGTTTATCGGTTTATCCGTGTTTCAGTGTGTTTTTGACTTCCTGATCCTGACAAGTTTCTGCTATTAGATTTCGGAGTTTTGCTTTTCCCCTGTTTCTACTTTGTTTTCCTGATCTGTTTTTGGACTGATTCTTGGATTCTGACTGCTAAATGACATTGGTCCAGTCTCCTGACCTCAGCATGGATTCTCCTTTTGTACCCCTGTCTGCTTGAATGCTGGGTCTTATGTTCTGAGCTTTTAAAATGATTTTTTCATTCACATAAACTGAGAAAGTCCCTTCTTTTTCTTCTTCTGATACCTTTTGCACATATTGGTCATACATACCGACCTGCGTAAGGTGCTGTGGCTAACTGGGCCTACCTTTAGGACAAGCAAAATAAATCAAATCCAAAGTCCTAAAATGTTCTTCTAAATCTGAAAACAGGATGTATTTCAAACAAAGTTAAAAAACAATCCAATGGACATTGTTTCCAAGTTTGAAGACATCTCGCTTTGCATCCAGGAAGCTTTCTCAATTCAAAATGTCTGGATTAGCATTAAGTTCTAAGCCTGAGTTCTTAAACCAGGTCAGTGACTCATGCATATATATCATCCTTCTTTAGATTATCACGATCACTAACCTGTGTTTCTCTCCTGCAAAGGTTCCAGTGTAAGATGCCCTTGCCGCTGATACTGCAGATCTGCAGCCCGCTTGGTTAAATAAACATTTTGAGTTATTCTACTGTCTGTATTATAACTTGCAAACACTTGGTTTTGTAAATCCCCGTGAAGATCTCTGCCATCCAGTTCAATAAAATCATCTTATATACACACTACCGTTCAAAAGTTTGGGGTAACATTGAAATGTCCCTGTTTTTTAAGGAAAAGCAATGTACTTTTCAATGAAGATAACTTTAAACTAGTCTTAACTTTAAAGAAATACACCCTATACATTGCTAATGTGGTAAATGACTATTCTAGCTGCAAACGTCCGGATTTTGGTGCAATATCTACATAGGTGTATAGAGGCCCATTTCCAGCAACTATCAC